TTTCAATACCGAATTCACTGCGTACTGATACCGCTGATGGTTGGAATCCACTACTAGTACCGTCCAATCCATTGAGACGAATCTTGTTGTCCGCTTCAAAATTTCATCCACGATGAGGTAGGGACTGGCTTTTCAGCCCCTGTTACTGGTTGTAGCGTAGGTAGCGGTGTATGATAATATATGTGCTATAATTCTGTCGCTGTAGATGATGAGATGGAAGAGGCAGCACTCGTTGGTATCGTCAATGTTCTCTTCGAAGTGCCTAATGGCTGGGTATATTTCCTCAGAACTGTTGTTTTCGGTAGTTGAGACAATGATACCGCTATATCGATTTTGGTTGTGATAAATAAGAAGGTCTTGTGAAGGGTATTGTGATTGGACGGGTAATCACTGTCGGTGGAATTGTCGTCGTTATAGTAGCATTCGAACAGATGATGTCTTTGTTGTTTTTTTGGATGTCCTCGTGGGAGTCCCGAACGTCATCGTTGTTCGTTGAGTTGCTGTTGTTGTTCTAGAACTTGCTGTCCTTCGAGGAGTCATCGTTGTCTCTACGATTGCTGTTTGTGGTGATGGTGTCGTTCGTGTCACTGATAATGTTTGTGATGTTGTGGTCGGTGGTACTATTTGGGCTGACGATGTCGTTTAATCGGATTGCCCGCCGTAGCTGGTGAAGTTGTCGGAGCCGAAAGGGTCGTTGCCAGTACCGCTAAGATGACGTTAAAATAAGGATTAATGAATTTCCATTCTGGGTCAAGCGATTGGGCCATTGCATTCGATTCTTCCTAACTCCTTTTCGAGATAGTTGTCAAATATTGCGAAAATGCCGAATTTTAGGTCTCGTCGGATGTTAATTATTACTATAATTTGGTTTAGCCACGTTTCGTATCTTCGCTTAGAGTAGATGGAAAGAGTAAAGAAATCGGAATTTGGCAGACATAATGTAGGATGGGACGTGCGTTAATAAGCCATCTTGTTCGGGACGTACAGATTACCCCTATCAATTTATTGATTTTTTGCAGTTTCTGCTTGAAAAATTTTTT